TGGGGTTTTTTTTTTTCTAAAGGGTTAGGGATGCAAGGGTCTTGTAACTTGACAGCTTTAAGACTTGCACACTTCAATGCTAGAGTTTCTGAGCCAACATTTTGGTTGCTAAGCAAGAGCATTGTTAAGTGAATTTCACTACATTTTACAAGTTGGGCCATGCCCACCCAGTCACATGACCGCAAGCCGCTCCCACTCGGTCACATGGCCAGAAAGCCATTTCCACCCAGTCACATGGCTGGCAAGCCACTCCCACAAAGCAGGCCACACCTACAGAAGAGGTTCTAAAGAAAAAATTGAAACCCATCACTGAAGTAATGGGAACTCACCCCGTTACATGGCGCTAGGGATTCGAACTGCTGAACTGCCTCCCTTCTGATTGACAAGCTCAGTGTCTTAGCCACCTTAATCTCTCCCTTAATTTGTCTCTTAAACTGCCCCTAAAGGAACTGTCCCTTACTTGCACCCAAAAACAGTTTTCTATTTTTAATATCTGCTTAGGCACACAATGCCCAAAACGTGGCTACTTTTCAGTAACAAATCGGGGAACATCAATTGTCCTTATGGTTGTCCCAAAGGTGCTTTTTCCAAAAGGCATTTTGGATTTTCTTGGTGTTTTCCTTTGAAAATGTTTCGCTTCTCATCCAAGAAGCTTCTTCAATTCTTCAGAAAAACTAGTGGTGACATGATAGCAGTGTTCCAATATTTAAGAAGCTGCCACAAAGAACAGGGGGGTGAACCAATTTTCAAAAGTACCAGAGGGCAGTACAAGAAGCCATGGATGGAAACCAATGAAAAAGAGAAGCAATCTAGAACAAAGGAAAATTTCCCTGACAGTTAGAATAATTAATCAGTGGAACAATGTGCCTCCAAAAGTTGTAAATGCTCCAACACTGGAAGTTTTTAAGAAGATGTTGGATAACCATCTCTCTGAAATGGTATAGGGTTTCCTGCTTAAGCTGGGAGTTGGACTAGAAGACCTCCACTAGAAGACCTCCAATGTGGAAGAAGGGATGGCACATTCTACCATATTTGGTGGTCCTGTATTGAGGCCATGAAATACTGGAGAAGGATTCAAAACTGGCTAAAAGAGGTTACCGGGGCAAGTATGGAATGGAAACCTGAGACTTTTACTAAGCATAAAACCAGAAAACATGAGTAAATCTATATGGCATTTGAGCCTACATATAATTGTGGCCGCAAGAATAACCTATGTGCAATTTTGGAAATCTACCATACCATCGAAGATGCCATAATTAAAAAGATTTATGAGCGTGCAGAAATGGACAGAATGACGGGTTGGCTGAGGGACAAAGAAGAAACGGAACATTATCTTAGCTGGAACCTATGGTATATGTGGGTGACAAAGAGAACAGCAGGGACTTAAAACTGGGAAAGTTAAATAGCAGTTGTTAACAATGGGAACTAAAAGTGAACGTGGGTATTGTAATAAATCCCTGAATTTTGTAACAAGAAGATGCTGGTTAGAGACTAAACAATGAGGAAGAAAAAAAATGTTGGGCTGTGAATGACTGTCACCGGGGGGGGGGGCGTGTTGTATATTTAAAGCTGTATTTATATGTCTTATTTTAAAAAAGTATAACCAATAAATACTATTTTTTTTAAAAAAAAAAACCTCCAAGGTCCCTTCCAACTCTGTTATTCTGTTCAAGAAAAAGAACCAAGAAAATCCAGCTGCCTTTTGGAAAAAGCAGCTTTGGGACAACCATGAACTGGATGATTCAGACTCTCCATTGTTGTTGTTAGTTGCAAAGTTGTGTCCAACCCCTGGCGACCCCATGGACAACGTTCCTCTAGGTCTTCCCATCCTCTACCATCCTCTGTAGTCCATTTAAACTCACGCCAACTGCTTCAGTGACTCCATCCAGCCATCCCATTCTCTGTCGTCCCCTTCTTCTTTTTGCCCTCCATCTTTCCCAGCATGAGGCTCTTCTCCATTGAGTCCTTCCTTCTCATTAGGTGGCCAAAGTCTTCAGGATCTGTCCTTCTAAAGAGCAGCCAGAGTTGATCTCCTCCAGGACTAACCAGTTGGATGGCCTTGCAGTCCAAGGGACTCGCAGGAGTCTTCTCTAGCACCAGAGTTCAAAGGCCTCCATTCTTTGGCTCTCAGCCTTTATGGTCCAACTTTCACAGCCATCCATTGCAATTGAGAAAACCATAGCCTTGACTAGACACACTTTTGTTGGCAGGGTGATGTCTCTCCATAAACTCTCCTTATTGTTCTGTGGCTTTCCACCTTTCTAGCTCTGTCCATTTTCAAACAACACGGCGTCCCTTCTGCCTCTCCTAAATTTCATCCTTCTCTCAGTCACATGCTGAAGAGTAGAGATGTAATGGCTGGGGAATTCTGGGGGTTGTAGTCCACACCTCTTAAAAGCTGTCAAGGCTGAGGAAACACTACTCTGGCGGGAGAAGATCCTCTTCTGTCTCAAGAAAACCAGAGTTCCTTCTGCCTCATTAGGGTCCACAGGACGTTTTGAAAGAAAAAAAGCCGACAGATCTGTTGTGTGAAAATCGCTGAGAAGGATTAAACAAGCTTTTTTAAAAAAATGTTCTCTTCCTAATTATCAGTGCCTTCCCCCACCCCTCCTTCTGCGTTCCAGGCAATTAATTAAAATGAAGATGTGGAGCTCCTACCAAGGCAGGGAATGTTCAAGCAGAGCTATTATTGCTCTCTGCTGAGCTTCTTTTACTGATCTAGTCTTCAGCAGCCTCAGGCATGGTTCTATAAAGAAAAAATCCATGGAATGCACCTTGGGGATAATCCTGTAAATATTAAAGACTTCCGACACATATACCCATCTCATCATCCTTGTCAGGCAGTTCAAGAAGAGTTTTCCTACATTTTGCATTTCCTTGAGGAATAAATAACTTTCTTTCTCTTCTGGGGGAACAAAATTGATGTAGTTGGGGATAGTTCTCATTTTAGATGCAATCAACCTTGTCTTCCATCGGCGCTCCCAGATCATTACAGTCTGGGGCTCTTATTTCTGTTTCCATCTGATGCCTTTGTATGTGAATTGATTTCCCGCAACAACAGACATTATGGAATAATAATGTAGTTAAATTGCCATTTTTCGTCTTGAGACAGCGCAAGGGTAGAATATTCAATGCCCTGATTTCAGATGTTTTGAAACCCACGGAGGACAGTTTGTTTCACACCAAGGTTTGATTGATTCTTATAAGACCTTAAAAGGTAAAGGTTCCCCTCGCACATAAGTGCTAGTTGTTCCTGACTCTAGGGGGCAGTGCTCATCTCTGTTTCAAAGCCGAAGAGCTAGCGCTATTTGAAGACATCTCCTTGGTCATGTGGCCAGCGAAGGCGCACGGAACGCTGTTACCTTCCCACCAAAGGTGGCACTTCTTTCCTCCTCCTTTATGTCCTATGGGAGGGGCCAATCACCTCCAAACCTTACTCCCGAGTCATCCCTTCTGTTCTTGCCTTCTGGCAGCTCTGCGCATGCGGGCACTGGGAACAGGGAGAGCCTATTCCTCTGCCTCGCTGGGTAAAATGAGGACCCAGATTGTTGGGGGCAATAGGCTGTCTCTGTAAACCACTTAGAGAGGGCTGTAAAGCACTGTGAAGCAGCATGTAAGTCTAAGTGCTATTGCTCTTCCTTTTCTCCTTCCTTCCTTCCGTCCATCCGTCCTTCCACCATGCACAGTGATTAGAAAGCAGTATTGCAGGCTAATTCTGCCGACTGTCAGCAGTTCGATCCTGACCAGCTCAAGGTTGACTCAGCCTTCCACCCTTCTGAGGGCAGTAAAAGGGGAACCCAGATTGTTGGGGGAGATATGCTGACTCTGTAAACTGCTTAGAGAGGGCTGTAAAATACCGTGAAGCCTAAGTGTTCTTGCTATTTACTATTATGACCGTTCAGTATTCCTTGGTTTTTAAAACGAACAGCCATTAAATTGGCCATTTAGGACATCAAACCTAAAACTGCTGCTGTACAGAAGCATGAAATCTGGAAGAGCTTGAAAGAGGTGAATAAAATGTCAGATTCGGTTCTTAGGACGCACTGACAAGCCTTGAAATCCCATCAATCTTCCCTCCCAGGTCTTGTTTTCCACTCCGATGATCAATTTTATTTTTTCTCCTTCAAATTGGTCCCACGTTCCCCATATAGTTATCTTCAAACTTGGTGAGCTCCAGATGTGCTGGGAGTAGGAATTCCCTGTGGCCATGCTGGGTATCGATTCTGTTTCATTTGCTGTTAGCTTTCTTTCCTGAATGCGTAAAGGCCAATGGCATCTCTGCGGAATATTTTGAATTTATGTTAATTGCTTTAAAATGACTTTCTGCTTTCGCTCATCAGCATTAATTGCTACATTGATGCTCTCCTGGTTTCTAATGAGTGGATGTGGCAGAATAACGCAAACAGAAAGGAGCACTTAGCCTCCTTCAAAAAATACTGTTTTTCTAGGTTCTACATTTAGGCAAGAAAAACAAAATGCACAGGTACAGTATAGGTGGTACCTCCCTTATAGTAGTAAATGTGANCAAGAAAAACAAAATGCACAGGTACAGTATAGGTGGTACCTCCCTTATAGTAGTAAATGTGAATGGGATCTTGGAGTTCTAGTGGACAACCATTTAAATATGAGCCAGCCGTGTGCTGCAGCTGCCCAAAAAGCCAACACAGTTCTAGGCTACATAAACAGAGGGATAGAATCATGATCCTGTGAAGGGTTAATACCACTTGGTAAGGCCACACTTGGAATCCTGAATCCAGTTTTGGTTGCCATGGTGTAAAAAAGATGTGGAGACTCTGGAAAGAGTGCAGAGAAGAGCAACCAAGATGTTTAGGGGATTAGAGGCTAAAACATATGAAGAACAGTTGCTGGAATTGGGTTTGTCTAGTCTGATGAAAAGAAGGATTAGGGGTGACGTGATAGCAGTCTTCCAATATCTCAGGGGTTGTCCCAAAGAAGAGGGAGTCAAGCTGTTCTCCAAAGCACCTGAAGGCAGGACAAGAAGCAATGAGTGGAAATTAATCAAGGAGAAAAGCAACTTAGAACTAAGGAGAAATTTCCTGACAGAACAATTAATCAGTGGAACAACTTGCCTCCATGAGTTGTGAATGCTCCAACGCTAGAAGTTTTTAAGAAGATGTTGGATAGCTATTTGTCTGAAGTGGTGTAGGGTTTCCTGTCTAGGCAGGGGGTTGGACTAGAAGACCTCCATGGTCCCTTTCAATTCTGCTATTCTATTCTATTTATTAATAGTAATAATCTCATTTTTGAGCATGGCTAATCCTTGATTTATAACCGTTCGTTTAATGAATATTTTTGCTCAACTCTCAAATTTCAGAAATGAATGCTACTGCCAGGGTAGAACTGAATAGGACTGCTATTCCCAACCATGGATCTGTCAGGAGTTTTAGTATAATTCTAATAACACTCCCCTAATTTGCTTGCAATGGGCATTTCCTGCAGATAAAAATGTTTTTTTCTTGCACCTGTGATACGCTAAGAAAGCATAGAAGATTTTGTATGTTCAAAGAGTGCCCTCTGCCCACTTGTGATTTGGCCAATCAAATTAAGATTCAGAAGCTGCAATCCTCCATTTATCATTCCGAAATTCTTGCTGCCCGTTGCTTTGAGCTCACTTGTCAGCTGGTGTTATTCTGCAGCGACTTTCAAAGAGAAAAATCCCTGCAGATGTAAACAGAGTTCATGACAAGAGTAAAATGAAATGTACTAACAAATAATGCCTCTTTACAGCCAATACAAGCAACACAAAATTCACTAGTCATTACACTCGAAGCAATGAGAGGCAGGATTTGATTGTGTGTTCTGCACTTCATTGATATATGTATTCATTCATCCGCTTACTGATTTCTCTTTTCTTTTTTTCCAAGTTTTTTTTTACAAATATATCAAATCAATGCGCAAACAGTGTGGCACCTGGGTGTCATATTCTCCTACAAATAAAACTAATAAAGTTAATGATAATTGTTACATTCAATCAACTTATATATTTCTAATAATGATACATATATTAGGTGGCAATCTGTCATTATTCAATTATTCCATGTTTTCTCTTATTATTACTTTTATTTTATGACATGAAGATGTATTCACTTATATTCCCCCTTCTCTTATTTCTATCCCTTATTCTAGCTTTTAATCGCATCACCCTTTACTAAAAGACTTTTCCTTTCTATCTTAGCTAACGTCCAATCATGTCACCTACCTAAAAAAAGAGAAGAGAAAAGCAAAAGCAAATCGGAACAACAAAAAAGAGAAATCATCAATCCATTGTCTCTTGCCCGTTTCAATACTTTAATTGCTATGCTTTTTTTGACTTGTCTCCCAGATTTCTCTCTTGAATCTTTATCTCTGTCTACATCTGTTTCTTCGCTGTTCAGTCTCGGTATTTCTTCCACCGCTACCCGCTTCCACTGCCTAGTTTCCAAGATTTCTGGCTAGACCCCTCCTGTGCTTTCACTTATTGATTCTTCCTGTGGCCATCAATTCTCAATTCATCAATGCAAATTGGCAACCAAGGATGCTAATTCTGGACCGTACTCCAGAATCTAGTGCAAAGTGCCTGTGGGGAACAGCCAGGTTTTTGAGCCTTAAAAAAAGGACCAATAGGATTGGGGCCATCCAAAGCACCTCAGGATGGGGACCAAGCTGTTCCACAACCACAACAGCGCAAACGTTTGAAAAAGCCTTGAGATGGACATGTTTCACTTCACATCTAAGCTATGATCAACCATGTGTCAGAACTAATAACACACTGAGAAGGTGGCTTCTGGCAATCCTTCTCATATCCTCTTCTAGCTGGATCGCCTCCGTTTATCATTTTTAATACAGGCAACACGATTACATAGGCCAAATGGGGCACATTTAGGATTAAAATTGGCAACTTCCTCCATTAAACAGAAATTCCCTTTTCCTTCTTCATTTCTATCTCTCCAGCAGCAAGTTGGTGGGAAGGAGGCAGTTACCATATTTTTCAGAATATAAGACACACCTTCTCTCCCCCCAAAAAAGAGGGTGGAAATCTGGGTGTGTCTTATACACTGAATATTTTTGCTCTCCCGAAAACCTGCCCCGCGCATTCCAGTTTTCATAAAAATGGACACGCAGAGGGTTTGGGAGGCCTGTAGAGTGCTTCTAGGGCCTGGGGAGGGCAAAAATGAGTGAAAACGGGCCCGTTTTTCACAAAATTAGGATGTTTTTGCCCACCCAAGCCCCCAGGAGTACTTTGCAGGCCTCCCAAACCCTCTGCATGCCCCTTTTTTCACAAAAAAATGGGCATGCAGAGGGTTTGGGAGGCCTGCAGGGTGCTCCTGGGGGCCGAGGAGGGCAAAAACTTTTTTATATTTTAATTTACCTCTTCAAAATCTTGATGCGTCTCATACCCTGGTGCGTCTTATACTCTGAAAAATACGATAGCTTTTATCGGAAGTCTGATTTCAAAGGAAGTTTGAAGTTAAGCTAAGGCTGTGGATTGTCCACTTCTGCTTCTCCAAAGCACCAGAGAACAGGACAAGAAGCAATGGGGAGAAGATGATTAGAGTAGACTCAATCTAGAACTAAGGAGAAATTTCCTGACAGTGAGAACAATTACCATATTTTTCAGAGTATAAGATGCACCGGAGTATAAGATGCACCAAGGTTTTGAAGAGGCAAATTAAAAAAAAAAGTTTTTGCACTCTTCAGACCTCCCGAAAACAGCCCATTTTTCACGAAAATGGCCCAGTTTTTTTCTCAAAAAAAAAGGGGGGGGGGCGTGAATAGCCTTTAGGAGGCTTGAATAGAGTGCTGGGGGGGGGCAAAAATGTGTCTTTGCTTTTAAAACTGTTACAAAGAGGTTTTCCCTTTCTCACCTGTTTTCTACATCATGCTATATTAGAGTAGAATAAAATAAAATAGGAGTTAGGGAATAGAATACAATACAGTACAATAACAAAATTGGAAGGGACCTTAGAGATCTTCTAGTCCAACCGCCTGCTTAGGCAGGAAACCTTACACCAGACAAACGGTTCTCCAACATCTTCTTAAAAACTTCCAGTGTTGGAGCATTCACAAATTCTGGAGGCAAGTTGTTCAGGTAGTCCTTGACTTACGACCACAATTGAACCCAAATTTTTTTACTGCTAAGCAAGACGGTTGCTAAGTGAATTTTGCCCCGTTTTATGACCTTGCTTGCCACCGTTGTTACACAAATCACTTCAGTTTGCAAGTTAGTCTCTTAGTAACTTAGTTGTGAAGGGAATCTGGCTTCCCCCTTAACTGTGCTTGTCAGTAGGTCGCAAAAGGGAATCACGTGATGCCAGGGCGCTTCAACCGTCATAAATATGAAACCAATTGCCAAGTGTGAATTTTGATCACTTGATGCTGCAACGGTCAGAAGTGTGACTCAATCACTTTCTTCAGTGCCACCGTGACTTTGAACGTTCACAAAATTACCTCTGTCGTAAGTCGAGGACTACCTGCAATGCTCCTAATAATGATGGAATTGCAGCTGTTATTGCTTTGATCAGTAAACCATGGTTAGTAAAACTGTGGCTTAATTAAGATGCATTCCCAACCGGCGACTTCTAAAACGATTCTCGACGTGACACATGAGCCTCTTCTGAAAGCCAGGGGAGCGTATATGTTACTCCTTGGTCTTTTGGCCCATCTCATTTTAATAAAGCATCATTTAAATGGATGTCGATGGACTAGATTTTTATCTGTTAACAAAGAGATTACACCAAAGAGGGTTGCCAGCTTGGAAGATGAACGATAGCAATTAAAGCAAATTCTCGGCACGGCACTTCACCGTACGTTTCCTCCTCGCAAGGCTTCCTACATTTGGGAATCGATTCTCCTCCTAAATCCATAGTTGCTGCCAAGAAAGGGGGGAAAAACATATCTAATGTCCGTAACAATATCTTTTTGGGTTTTGCCCTTGTTTGCGCTTTTGTTTCACTTTGTTTCTTTTTCTTGTTTTCCCCTCTCAGGAACTGAGAACAGAAGCAATTGGAAGACCTCTTGAGATCAACGAAACCGAGAAAGTGATGAGCGTTGCCATCAAAGACATTTTGGTAAGGATGAGGGGGTTTTCAGCGCAGAGGCTTTGTTAGTATTGTGACTTGCCAGTGGCCAAAACTGTTGTGGCCCATTTACAATATAAAGCTTTTTTATTTTTTATTTTATCACACTGAAAAAAAAAATCGGAAGCCAACTACTTTTTTTCCCCTTCTTCCTTTTTTTTTCTGTGCCACTCTTCTTTTCCCTTACACTTTCTTACCTTTCGTTTCCATTCAACACTCACTTGGCAATGGATTCATATTTATGATGGGCGCAGTGACCCCTTTTGCGACCTTCTGACAAGCAAAGTCAATGGGGAAGCCAGATTCACTGCACAGCCGCGTTACTAATTTAACGACTGCCTTGATTCACTGAACAAATGGGGTAAGAAAAGTCGTAAAATGGGGTAAAAACTGTTGTGGCCCACTGGCGGACAGCAGAGCTGGCAGCAGAGTCGGGGAGGTTGGGGAGGCTCTGATGAGGACTCTGTGTCGGAGGCAGGGAGGGGGCCAGAGCTGTCTGGCAGTTCTCAGCTGCCTTCGGAGCTAGACAGCAGTGAGGCAGAGGATCAGCTGGAGCCTGTTCCCAGTGTGCACATGCGCAGAGTTGCCAGACGAAGGGAACAGCTAAGGAACAGGGGTCAACTTGGGAGTAAAGCCACAGGTGGACAGTGAATGGCCCCTCCCATAGGAAATAAAAGAGGAGCGAAAGGGGAGTGGGCTTTTTCAGGAAACAATTTGTTCCTTCGTTTCAGGAGTGTGAAGATCTGTCCGTGAATCTCAGAGACTCTGTGCCAAGTCTTTCCTTGCACAGCACAGTCTTTCCCAGCATGAGGCTCTTCTCCAGGAAGTCCTTCCTTCTCATTAGGTGGCCAAAGTATTTGAGTTTCATCTTCAGGATCTGGCCTTCTAAAGAGCAGTCAGGGTTGTTGTCTGACAACACAAAGTTTATTAAGCACTAACAAAATGTAAACAATAGAAAATCAATAAAATCTTTTCTTTAAAGGTCCTTGAACATTAACAGGGCAGTTTCAAAGGGTAAAATATGTTTGCTTTCTTTTGTTGCTAAGGAAAAGACTCGCACACAAAAAAAAGGTGGGACAACTTTCCATCCTGACCCTCCTTTGCTTCGTTCACTCTTTGTTCCTCAAGACTCTCATTTGTTCAGCACAAACTGGTCAAGGAGTTCTGTAGAGGAACACTAAATGTAAATAAATTTCCCTCGAGGGTTAAATGCAAGTTTCGATTACCTTCGGGGATGGCAAAACCAACTGTTATAATTAAAGAGAAGAACCTATCTTTTGTATCCACTTGGAAACCACTTCTGGACTTAGTACTTGAAAATGGTTGAAAAAAACCCGAATCCTTGATTTTAGGATTGGAAGGAGTAGAATGACTTTGTACTTATAGAAACAGCTTGAAACATTTTGGAAATGTAAAGGCAAAGGTTGAAGTTGTTGTTGTAGTTGTTTTATATTTTATCCCACTGAAAAAAGTCGGAAGCCAACTACTTTTTTTTCCTCCTTCCTTTTTTTCTGCATCTCTCTTCTTTTCTCTTACACTTTCTTACCTTTTGTTTCCATTCAACACTCACTTGGCAATGGATTCATATTTATGACGGGTGCCGTGTCCTGAGGGGGTCGTGTGATCCTCCTTTTGCGACCTTCTGACAAGCAAAGTCAATGGGGAAGCCAGATTCACTTCACAGCTGCATTACTAATTTAACAACTGCCGTGATTCACTTAACAAATGGGGCAAGAAAAGTCGTAAAATGGGGCTAAACTGTTGTGGCTCGCCGGCGGACAGCAAAGCTGGCAGCAGAGTCAGACAATGAGGCGGGGAGGAAAATGGGCCAGTCCCGGGGGTTGAAGAAAACTCAAAACGAGGGCTCTGCATTGTAGGCAGAGGGGGGAGTTAGACAGCAGTGAAGCAGAAGAACAGCTGGAGCCTGTTCCCCGTGTGCGCATGCGCAGAACTGCCAATGAAAGGAATTCACAGTCATGCAAATAAAAGAGGTCAGGACCAAGGTTTTGCTTCTTGCTTTCTAAGGAAGTCTTGGTCAGAACAAAAACTTACTTAACAAATTTCTCACTTAACAACATAAATTCTGGGCTCAATTGTGTTTGTAAGTTGAGGATTTTTAAGATGGTTCTCCATATCTTCCTTCTCGAGTTTATATCAAGGAGCTTTTTGGTCTTTGTCCTTCTTACTCTCGCCCATCTCACACCCACCTACTGTAGAGTCACAGGTGTCACTCTGGGTAGCCTACAATAGAATTGGTAGCTCACCTCACCTATGTGCGACTTCCGTTTTTTTTTTTTTCAGGAGCAAGTCCAGAAAACCAATGACATGCTCAACAACGTGGCTGCCGATGAAGCCAGTTTGGAGGCCAAGATCGAAAAGAGGAAATCGGAGCTGGAGAGAAACCACAAGCGGTTGCAAACCCTGCAGAGTGTTCGGTAGGAGCCAAGGTCCTCTCGGTTCCTCCTAAAAGATAGAAGTTAGGTAGGGGTAGAGGTAGATTATAAAATATAGAGATGGATGGATGGATGGATGGATGGATGGATGGATGGATGGATGGA